AAGGCACTGAATGTGAGGCTGGGGATTGCAGAGTTGGGAAGGGTGCAGGAAGGGAACATAATGTATGTCATTCACAAAACAAAACATCTGCTGACACGCCTAATGCTTTGTGTTGTCCTCTTTCCTTGTCCCTCACCTATCACCGCCTTAGTTTGTACTCTCTTCTGGGCAGGGCCCATCTCATCCTACATGTTTAGAAAGTGCCCAGCATGTTTTGGACTCTGCCACAATCTATGTAATAATGATCCCTGGCAATTGAATTCAAATTCTGCACAAAATCTCCATCTTTCTGCCTGAATTTGCAGTGTCTGTGTATCTCTCTTTCAGCGGGGGATGGTAAAGTGTATGAGAGGACGCTGGACTACAATAAAACCATCCAAGCCCTTGGTCTTCCCAAGAATGTCCCAGATACAAATCCCTATCGATCCAGCCCCTGTAAGTAACTTGATGTGAACCGAGCCTATGTTCGTGTGTGCGTGTCTAGGGGAGGGATTTGTGGGTCAACTTGCTGCCCTGCCCGAAGGACAGGTCAGGCTGATGGCCTGTCTCACTTGATGTTGCAGCTGATGTCACAACTCGGTTCGATGAAGTGTTCTGGTTTGGAGACTTCAATTTCCGACTCAACAAGGATCGTGAGAGCGTGGAATCAATCCTGAGCCAGCATCTGGACACAGACATGTCCAAGTTACTGCAATATGACCAGCTCATTAAAGAAATGAATGATGGTGAGAGACTTGCTGCCTACCCTTCTACTCCCAGCCCCCACTGCCTGGAGATCTCCAACCATGTGAATTTCTACAGCTTTCTTTTTACTTCTTGGATAGCGACTGACGTAACGAGGGAGTTGTCTGGAGAGGGAAAACCAACAGCTTTCAAATATAATGACACTTCAAAGGAGGGGAGTAGGAATGTGAATTCTCGAGTTCCGCATGACGTGCCACACACCCCTGGCAAGGCACTCACTTGCTGTTAATCATGGTTGTTATGGAGGTGCCTAAGGCCAGCCAGGACTGGGCCGCATTGTGCCAGGAGCTGCGCAATGAGCCGTGCCCCAAAATGCTTCCAGTCTAAACAGACAAGAGAAGCACAGGGCAGAACACCCCAAGGAACAATGTGGTGGCAGAAAACGTTATGTTAATTCCACTATCTGGGTCCGAGTGCTGCAGCGTTGGGGAAGAGTCTCCCTTGCAGGTGGGTGGGGTGGCTTTGCCTCCGTTCACTGCTCTGTAGAATGGACATAATTCCCATCTACCTCACAGGGAGCATGTGAAAGCTGATTGCTTTGCAAAGCATGGTGAGGATGTCGATGGAAGTGCCATAAACATGCCAAGGATTAGTGCTCCAGGTTTTTCAATGTTGGCGATTCATCCTTAACACTCCCCCACCCCCGCCCCTCCGTTTATGCTGGTGGGTCACGTTTTGTAGCCCTGCATGTTATTGGTTTCATTTCTAGACAGGATTGGCAAACTGCATTTGAAATGCGTGTGATAAATGCCCAGCTGCTGTCATGTTCGGTTACTTGGGAAGACTCACTTTGCTCTTCATGCTGTCTCTTCCCTTGCAGAGGCTATTTTCAAAGGGTTCCAGGAGGCTGCCATTCACTTCCGTCCTTCCTACAAGTTTGATCTAGGGCAGGATAGCTACGACACCACTTCCAAGCAGAGGACGCCTTCGTACACGGTACGGTGTTATTGTAAACACGCTCCTGGGGAGGGAATGGGCTCTTGGCCACTGCAATGGGTTCTGGGGCGCCTCCTGACTGCATCTGAGAGAGAGCTCTGCCTGGTCTGATGCCCTTTCTGCCTCGTGTGGCCTCCCGTGCACCAGGAGTTGCAGAGCTTCCTCTTTCATGGCCTGGATCTCCGGCCAGTTCACTCTAGTTTCCCTTTTGGGCCATCAGTCTCACTGCCATGGCAGACTGGCTCTCACTTCCGGCTATCAGCCTGTTCAAGACGAGGCCACTTCCTCAGTGGCCGATGGGGGAACCCATCCCACCCACTAAGCCAGGTTCCAGGTCAGGGACCCTCAGACCAGTGGCCATGCTCTGCACAATCCAATACCTTGCTGCTATTTCCATGGGCCATTTCCTACTCTACTGCTACCCAGCCCCTGTGCTGCACAGTAGTTCCGTTCCTCTCGAAGGGAGGATCCACCTGTTGCGGGGGGGATGCATGGGATGCCCCCCCCATGTCAGTGCATCTATCTGATCCAGCAGCCATGCTGGAAACTTCCACGATGCCCCTGAGCAGAGTAGCACACCGTGTGGGATAGGGAAAGGGTCACTGGATCCTTAAATACCTGGATCCCTGCCAGATAGGAGGTGAGATGTGGCAGTGACTGTTTTCCCACTGCACGTCCCAATGGTCAGCCACGCAGGGCATGGCAGCTCCTAGAGAAGGAATTTGCACCCACCCATAGAGTTTTATGCATAGCAGGGCCTGGGGTTCGGAGGGCCAGATTTGCATGCTGCCGTGTGCCACCTCTCTCCCGGGATGTTCGGATGGGCGACTGAGTCCCTGCACGGGGCTGAGTTCTGTCTAAAGTGGAATGTTTTAAATGGACCTGGGCCTTTCGCATACAAGCGCGTCTCTCCGGGGCAGACAGGCAAAGGCGAGTGAACATCCATCTCCCTGATTTCTCTCAACCTCCCAGGATCGAGTGATGTACCGAAGCCGGCACAAGGACGACATCCAGGCAGTGAAGTACTCCTCCTGCTCAGCGATAAGAACGTCAGACCACAGGCCTGTGTATGGGCTGTTCCGGGTGAAAGTGAGGCCTGGCAGAGACAAGTCAGTAACCTGTTTGTGCATCTGTGCGTGTGATTAGCCTGTATTGAGCGCCTAGGACATGCTTCCAGTTAGCAGTTGGTGGCTTCTGTTGTCACAAGAGCTCCTGAGATGGAATGAGTCCCAGTAACCTACTGCAGTGTATGTGTGTGTGTGCGCTCTGCGTGTTACATTTCAGACCCAGTGCTGAAAACAATACACCGAATCTAAACCAGACTGGCGATAGCAGAATCCCTACTGCCGGTCCCTGGGTCCTTCTGAGGGCGATTACTTGAGTCCAGTGCATTTACCACATAGGCATGTTCACCTGAGACACAGCTCTCAGTGCTCTTTATTGAGAAAACTGAGGGGCTGCCTTTCTTTCCTTGCCCAAAATTTGCACTTCAGTCCCCCAAAGAAATGACTTTTGCCCTCCCTCCCCAGAAATGGATGCATTTCAGTAGAGCTGCATGTATACAGCTTGCCAAGCACCTTGGGGTACGCTAGGATTCATACCCCTAGAGGAATATCAAGTCTTGTATCTGTTTGCCCACATTTTAAAAGCTTGTAAAAAGTAATTGGCTTGACTAAGTGAAGCTGGCTAGTTGTGTCTCCCTTGTGAGTTGCATGCCTAAGTAATTAAACATTAAAAAGACTCTCTAGATTAGAAAAAAGTGCTGACCGGGTGTTTGGGGAATCAGTGCTACTAAAATTGCTGTTTCAGATGTCCCCCCCAAAAAAACAAATCTCAGTAGGTGCTCTGTTCTGTCGTGGGGGAAATGTGACCATGTCTTCATGGTAAATACAGAGGTGTTGCTGAGTCTGTGAAGGCAGTACAGGTGTGGGGCTGCATTTGGTGCATGGCTCCCATTCTTCTGCTCCCTGGCTACAGGATGGGTCTTAAGGTTGGCGCTCAGGAGGAAGAGGAAAGCTTTCTGACCCTGCATAAGTAAACTCCACCTCAGCCTGGGTGGAACAACTGAGGCATGAGCGCTTGAGCCTTACACACTTCAAGAGGACTTTTCTTGGGAGTTAGATAAGGAGACTAGCAGGACCAGTTAAAACTATACGTCTGTGTCTAGACTGGCAAGTTTTTCCACAAAATCATCTGCTTTTGCGGAAAAACTTGCCAGCTGTCTACACTGGCTGCTTGAATTTCCGGAAAAGCACTGACGATCTCATGTAAAATCGTCAGTGCTTTTCCGGAAATACTATGCTGCTCCCGTTCAGGCAAAAGTCTTTTTCCGAAAGACTTTTGCGCAAAAGGGCCAGTGTAGACAGCACAGTACTGTTTTCCACAAAAAAGCCCTGATCGCGAAAATGGCGATCAGGGCTTTTTTGCGGAAAACTGCGTCTAGATTGGCCACGGACCCTTTTCCGCAAAAAGTGCTTTTTCGGAAAATCATGCCACTGTAGACGTAGCCTACGTGTTCTTGCTATTTGACAGTCATATGCTTAAGGGCCCAATGCTGACCGCTGCTGCCTCAGATATGTCTCCCATTAGTGCTGGAAGTTTCATACTCAGATTGAGGGCACGTTTCGCTTTTACTACTCAGTCTAGTCTCTCCAAACAAGACTTGTGTAAAGCCTAACTTGTGATGCTAGAGAAACACTAAGATTCACTTAACATCAGAGCTACAGACGTATGTTAGTGCAAGAGAAAATGGAAAAGTTCATTCTGGCTACTGTTGTGTCCTAAACTAATCAAAGAGCTCTAAGCCAACATAAATTGTGCATATTGTGCAAATCTAACAACTTTTCTTTGTATTGTAGCATCCCACTCGCTGCAGGGCAGTTTGACAGAGAACTTTACTTAATTGGAATAAAAAGACGAATTACAAGGGAACTTCAGAAGCGGCAGGAATTAAAAGACCAAAAATCCAGCAGGGTCTGTGCTGTTTCCTGACCTTAAAGCTCAGCAACAAAGCTGCAAATGGTGTCATAAAGGAGGTTTTCAGACCAAGGCAAAGACTACTTGATTCCACATCTGCAGAGGTACAGATCAAGAGGGAAGGGGTCTTGGTTTGAGCACCAGCATGACAGTTGCTGTGGCCTGTATTAGATGTCTTAAACCTCAGCTCTCAAGTTTCATTTGCATGAGCTAATCCAAAGAACTTGAGTGCTTTTGCAGAAAAGGGACTATTCAAAACATGCCTCGGCTTATTCAATCAGGTCACTTTTAACAAAACTCCTTTGCAAGCAGCATGATGTATAGTTAGGTGATAAGTCTAGCCTTACCCAAGACAAAGCGTCTTATTGGGACACGCGGTCTTGGATTAGAGCGGTTACTCAAGGAAATTTTGCAAAAAGGAGACCATTGCGGTTTTCTTTATTTTGGATACTTGCTTTGTAAGTATCTATCACAGGAGGGCATTGAAGTCAGCAGTTTATGTATTTATCTATAGCCAAATGTACAGTATCCTGTAAAATACCCAAGAGGACCAACTAGAGATCTTGAGCAGTCTCTCTCTCAGGTTGATGCTTGTTTATAATAGATGTGCTGTTGTGGGCCACTGCAGCAAGCTCTGTGTGGATGTACAATAATCAACGTGCATTTAATATGGCCTTTTGAATTAGTATTTATTTTTATGACTATGTTGTTGCTAAGGGTGCATATTAATCTCTGAGAGCAGCACATGTTCTCAGATGAAGTCAGAGTTCCTAAATGGATGTTGATAATTTATGGATCCTCCATAGTGGAGATCCCATCTCTGTGTCAGTGAGAAATTTCACATGCTTGCAGCAGCAATAGATGCCGCAGCTGTAAACAGTGGCCTTGGTAGGGCTATTGTGTAAAAATCCAGCAAAAAGTGGTTAAGTAAAGAGAGCACTAAAAAAAGCTACTTATGGTGGGAGAAAAATCTGTTTCTGCCTTTGGGAGATATTCAGAGCAAGAACCAGGAATCAAAAGAACTCAGTTCTGTTCCTTCTCTGATTCTCCATTTTGAGAAGTTATGCCCCCCCATTCCATTTGCTTCCCAATCAGAAAAATGTGGAGAATTTCTCTTTAAAAGGGCCTCCTCTGACGGCGAAGGCACTCTGCACTCTTTTGTGCAAAAACATATGCAAATGAGGCACAGTGATGACGATCGCTGTGCCTCATTTGCATACTTAATGAGCCACCATTTTTGCACAAGGGGCTTTTGCACAAGGAGCAGTCTACACTGCTCCTTGTGCAGAAACCCCCTCTTGCACAATAGCTGTTCTGCCTGAAAATAAGCGGCAGAATGGCTCTTGCGCAAGAGCCAGAGCTTTGCGCAAAAATGGCTGCTCATTAAGTATGCAAATGAAGTGCAGCGATTGTCATCGCGGTGCCTCATTTGCATATGTTCTTGCGCAAGAGAGCCTAAGTGTGGAATATTACACTGATTAAAATGTACATGACAGTTAATACTGTAACATTTCTCATGAGCTGACCTTGCTTGAATTGTTGGTTAAATATAACACTTTTTAAACCACATTACTACAGAAAATACAAAGCAGATGGTTTAGAGGAAGTTCCATTGTAATTATAAGGTATTTTGCAGACACCTACTTCCACAGTAATCTTGGGATGAAAAAAATATATTTTAGTATACTATACCAGTACTGTGATCAGTCCAAACTCTGAAAATATCTATGAGAAGTGCTACTCTTGACTGGTAATAAATCGCCATTTCACATTTTAAACCAAAATTCTGCTCTCAGTAATCATGTATTAATCCCCGTGAAAAAAACTCTTGCTGAGATCTCAGGGCAGAACTGTTGTGCATATAGGAGAGAAAATAAGAATTGGATGCTTTAAGGAAGAAATATAAGGCTCAATCTTGCAAGGTGTTGAGCCCTGATCCAGCAAGACTGAAGTCTATGGGCTACTCATGTGCTGAAAGTTAACCATGTGCTCAAGTGTGTTGCTTTACTGACCTGAGCACCTGATGGGCTGGAGTCCTTAATGTGTCTCTCCATCCCCTTTAAAGAACAAATCAGATTTTGGTTTAAATGAGATTTTCATACCATAAATGTAGCCTACAAATGATAAAGAAAAGTCCAACTTCATCTCTGGTTTCAGCATTTTCATGTTAAAGCACCTATTAGTGTGTTTTCTGTCCCTATTTCTTTTTACAATTAAAACGAGGAGCAGATTTTACTCAAACCGTGTGATTTGTAAATTGTGATTGAGTGGTAGATTTCTTGTGGGAACAATACTAAGCTAGAAAAGGACCTACTGCCCCTGTGCCATAAATTCTTTGTGGAGAGTGAAGGTTCCTGTACATGCAGCAGTGACATCAAAACCAAACAGAGCCAATTTTGTTGCTGAGCAACAGCAGAGTAGAGTTCTAATCAAGGCTGTGACCTGTGCTCACTATCTGGGTGGCCTGGTGCAAATCATGTCTTTCCTCAGCTGTAACATAGGATAAGCTTCTTGTTTTTCTAAATGTTTATGGTTAAGTTTAAAAACATGTCATTATCAATGCAGCAAAGCCTCCTAGAAATCCATTGGCGTCGATAACGTTCTAAATGATCGTGTTCACTTACTAATCGCACCCAATTATTTCAATGTTTTTATTTGTTTCCTTGACAAAGATACACGCCACAACTGACAGGACACAACTGTGTGTTGTACAACATACTACGGTTCAAAAAGCAGCTGTGTTTTTTTAGTATCCGCTGCACCACTTTGGGTCTGTTCTCTGCTCCAGGAGCATGCGCAGCTTCCTCTGACATCAATGGATGTTGTGTTGCTAAAAGCTGCTTCTGAACCTTTTGCTCAGCTTGATGGCTTAGGTACCAAATCATTTAATTGCAGCACTGCACGACTTCATTATTTATGCCTAGAGAGATCAGCTATTGTATATAACTGGATATTACATCTCACCTGTCAAAGGTGATGTTTTCTCATGTCTGAAAAACAGGTCACTAAACCCTGTTACTGGTGGTATTCTTTTGTGGATTTCTATAAACTGCCTTCTGCTGGGCTTTCAGCAAGAACCAATTACCTTCAAGACTAAGCTCTCTATACAAATCATTCATCTGTACTGACATTTAATTCAGCTTAATCTTTCCTGGGGAGATTGGCAGTTATCAAGGTGAATTGCTTTGGTTTGCAAGAAACCATTAGTTGCGCTTTAGGTTCAACCTAATTTCAAGTGAGCTCTGTGCCCCCAGTATCTACCAGGCCACACCCTTCAGAGGATCTGTCCAACAGCACAGTACTTGATGGAAAGCTACAGCCAAGGGCCTGTCTGTACTACAAACAGATTGACATTGCATTGATTGATCCACTGGGACTCGATTTAGCAAGTCTAGTGAAGACTTACTGAATTGTAGGAATGATAGTGTAATTGAATAGTCATGTAACTGCATGAAATCTTCATGGTTACAAGACTATTCTGTAGTCCCTGGGACCGAGGCCAGGAGCCAGCGCGTTCCAATGCCACGCCCGGAGAGTCCCCTGGCATCCTGGGCTGCTGCCTCTGTATATCAGAGGCAGCAGCACATGGTGGCAGGCAGAGCTGGTCTGTGAGGGGAGCCAGTTTAAAAACCAGCTTCCCTTGTGGACTAGCTGCCCACTCCCCATCCCTGCTCCCCTGATATACAGAGGCAGCAGTGTGAGGTGGCAGCAGCCTCTGCCTGCAATGGGCCCAGGCTTGCTGCAGAAATAGGCTACTCTGCACCCCATAGAGCAGCTTCTGTCCACAGGGAGCTCAGGCCCCTCATGGACAGAGGCTGCTTCCTGGCAGCCTCCCCAGCCCTCCACCCTCTTGCTGCTCCTCTGATAGAAGCAGCAGCAGCATGTGAAGGGGAGGCAGGCAGCATTGCAGAGCTGGGGGAGGGGGAAACTGACTTTTAAACCAGCTTGCCCCAGCACTGGCTCCTGCCTGTCCTTCTGCCTCTGTAGGGGGCAGCCAGGGAGTGGGCAAGTGGGTCCACGGAGCTGGCTTGAAAGCCAGCTCCCTGTGCGTATCAGCTCCTGCCTGCCCCTCTCCCCTTCTGCACTGCTGCCTCTATCAGAGGGAGGAAGGTGGATCTGGTGCTCATAGGGAGCCAGCATTTAAGCTAGCTCCTCACAGCCACTAGCTCCTGCTTTGCTGCCCCTGATACAGAGCAGCAAGGGGTGGGGCAAAATGTGTGTAGTTGACAAGATTATACAATTAACTGATAAGCCTAGGTTTATCAGTTAATCTTGTCGACTACACCTTGACATCCCTACTAAATTGACTGCTGATTACTCTCCCTTGGACTCCAGTAGCATAACCAAAATTGACATAGCTTAGCTCATTGCTGGGTCAACAGGAGAAACTGTCCCATCAACTCCCCTTACTCATTTTGTTCTGATGGGGGTACAGATGTAACTCAAATTCTGTAGCTTAGATCAACTTTTCCACATAGTACGGACCTGCCCTTAGTATGTTACCCATAATAAGTCTAACAAGCACATGCAGCAATCTTATTCAGATTATTGAAGCTATTTTCAAATGAACTAGGTATAAACTCAGAACTTTGAGGGGACAGGTTGTTCAAGTGTCCTAATTCAACTTGATTAGTCATATTTGGACTAAAACATTACCTTACATTAGCAGTACTTGTAACAATTCTCCCCAAATGACAGCATTACTGTGTACAGCCTACAAGATTGGAGGACAACTGATTTATGAAATGTATTTCTACCTCAATCTCCTTTACTAAAGAGTACAATGCAGTTTGGGTTGGAACCATCAATGCCCAGGACTATGAAGAAAAAACATGTACACATTTCCCTTGTAATACTGGTTATTTAAAGCAAGTGGCAACTAAGATCATGGCTAATTCATCAGTATGCTTAGCCCTTCACCTGTAATGATGATGTTTGCTTCACCACATTGCCACTCAAAGTGCCAAGAGAATGGCCTACACCCAGCCTTCTGTGATAGGCAGAATTTATTGATGACCAAAGTACTTATTCAGAGCTAGGACAGGTCTGTAAGCCTATACCAGCATGAACGCTTCACATTCTGAACATCTGAAGCCATCTTAGCTACAAGAAAAGTCCCATATTTACACCGTGTACATGTAAATATTCTTTTTTGCAGTGACATAATCCAAAGAACAATAGGTATCAAAAAAGTTAAGTCTCCTGATCTAGATGACAGTTGCTGCTTTATCGAAAAAGCCGATACATCCTCGGTAACCGTCCATCCTTACTAGACAGTGCTGCTTGAATGTGTTCGTACGTAGGCAATTCCGTCAAGTCACCCAGGGCAGCCACGGCTGGTTTGTTACGAAGCATTTTAGTGACCACTCTCTTGATGTCATTGGGCTTCACGTTACCTGCAGACGATGACAAAAAGAGCTATTTTAAATGCATTTTAGAACAGGAAGAAGCTTTGCTGTGGCGGCTGAATAGTTTCATTGCTGGGTCTATGCTTGGAATGCCTGCATTTGGATTCCAGCTCTGTCGCACTGTCTCAGACTCCTCCTGTCTAACTGGAGCACTGAGCTAGCTCGTAAGCAGTTGGGAAGTTAGGAGTCTCAAACCATCTCACAAAGGAAGTTAATTGATTTTAACTTGTGCCCAGTTAAAGGGACACAGCTTCGCAACTGCATTTACCTCTGAGTTTTTTTAACTGCTAAGTAATTGCTACAATTATTTTGAGATCAGAGAAAACTTGCTTTCACAGTGCTGTTTAGAAAAGAGGAGACTGAGGGGGGATATGATAGAGGTCTATAAAATCATGAGTGGTGTGGAGAGGGCTGATAAAGAAAAGTTATTTATTAGTTCCCATAATAGAAGAACTAGAGGACACCAAATGAAATTAATGGGTAGCAGGTTTAAAGCTAATAAAAGAAAGTTCTTCTTCACACAGCGCATAGTCAACCTGTGGAACTCCTTGCCAGAGGAGGCTGTGAAGGCTAGGACTATAATAGAGTTTAAAGAGAAGCTGGATAAATTCATGGATGTTAGGTCCATAAAAGGCTATTAGCCAGGGGATAAAATGGTGTCCTTGGCCTCTGTTTGTCAGAGGCTGGAGAGAGATGGCAGGAGACAAATCGCTTGATCATTGTCTTCGGTCCACCTTCTCTGGGGCACCTGGTGCTGGCCACTGTCGGTAGACAGGATACTAGGCTAGATGGACCTTTGGTCTGACCCAGTACGGCCGTTCTTATGTTCTGT